AGACAATGAGAGGCCAGGTGACCAGGGCTGCACAACAAGGCTCCAGGTTCTTCCTTCCCTGGTAGCTCAATCACCTGAGAAGCCTGCACAGCACTCCACCCCCACACACACCAAACACACAACCCAACATCCAAGGCAAAAGAGGGCACGTTGCAACATCCCATCTAATTTTTAACCACCGTCCTAGAGAACCCTCCTTCTGTCTCTACTCAGTCCTGTAACCCTTCCCCCCTCCTAGGTAAGAGGCCAAGCCAACCCCCACCCCACCCCCATCATCACCCAGGCCCTGGGGTTGCCTGGTAGAGCACAGGAGACTGTAGGTGGGAAGAAGAATCTCCCAGTCCTCAATCCAGATTCTTCACTAGTGACATACCAGTGATACACTTTTGGCTCCTGATTAAAGGCCAAGCAGTAGTCCCACCCACAGGCTGAGGGTGTCTAGGAACACACAGGAGAGATGTGTCCAATGGGGTCTCCACTGAGCCTCCTTGAGGCAGACAGCCAGGGTAATCAGGATGACGGATAGAAGCAAAAGGGGTGGGTGAGGGGTGGAAGGGGACACACGACATGACCAGGCTTCCAGGGCTGTTCAGCCCTTTAGGTAGTCCTCTCCCCTTGAGCAACCATTGCAAAGACACACGGCCATCTGTCTAGGGATCTCAGCAGGAGCCTGAGTAAAGTCAAACAGAAGAAATCAGTTGGATGTGTTGAGAGTGTCACACTCTCCCAGATACGTGGGTATCCAAAGATATCTAAAGATGCCTGTGTCTACCAAGTCAGGGTAAGGAGGAAGCTACCAGTCATTGTCATCAACACATGCCACCATGCAGCCATTTTAGGAGGCCAAAAAACAGATGACTTGGTGGTTCAGAGCACATAACGCTCTTCCAGAGGACCCAAGTTCAGTTCACAGTACCCTCATCAGACAGCTCAGGACTGCCAGTAACTCCCATTCCAGTGAGTCTGACGCCCTCTTCTGGCCTCCACAGGCACTGCACATACACACACACACACACACACAATTTTTAAAATAATAAAATATTTTAAAAGGAACATATTTAAAGCATCTATAGCACATATTGGGATGATGGGATACTGGGAACATCTGACTATGTCCTTTGTTGCATGGCAGACAGGTCCCACAAGCTTCTCAGGAAAGAGAATGTTCAGAGGACACAAACAAGCATGCTAAGGGTGCAGTTTATCACAGGAAAAGGCCTGCAAGTGGACATACAAGGATGTAAGCCCATATGTGGACTCCCACGGCTGTACGGAGACACAGACACAGGCATGGATATGCATACATTGGATTGTATGTAAGTGGCAGTATACAGAGACACATGTGGCTCTGTGTGCATGAACTACAAGTAAATAACATTGTGCAGAGAGATACATATGGTTCTGTGTGCCTGGGTTCCATTTAAACAGAAATGTACAGAGAGACATGTGTGGTTCTGTGTATGTGGATTGCATGTGTACATGTATGGGTATGTTCATGAATATATATGTATGTGTTGTGGTTGGAAAGAAAATGACCCCCAAAGGGAGTGGCACTATTAGGAGGTGTGGCCTTGTTAGAGTAGGTGTGGCCTTGTGAGGAAGAGTGTCACTCTGGGGGTGGGCTTTGAGGTCTCCTATGCTCAAGCTACTCCCAGTGTTACAGACCACTTCCTGGTGTTTGCAAGATGTAGAACTCTCAGCTCCTTCTCTAGCACCATGTCTGCTTACACACCACCATGCTCCTCACCATGACAATGGACTAAACCTCTGAAACTCTAAGCCAGCTCCAGTGAAAGGTTTTCCTCTATAAGAGTTGCCGTGGTCATGGTATCTCTTCACAGCAATAGAAACCCTGGCAGAATGGTATAGTATATGCTATGCACACTGATACTTCTGTGTACAGATACTCATGTACATGGATATGTGTGGATGTGTGCACAGGGAAGAGGGAGCCTGTAGGAAATGTGGCTAAGTTTCCCGTGGATCCAAAAGAATGCAGCAACTGTTTATTAGGGAAACAGGTTTCTTTCTGATCCTCTTGGGACACTCCTTTCTCTCTTCACCTCAGGGACTCAAGATGACTCAGCAGAGGTGGGAAGAGATGCATCACCCCCCGGGGCTCAAGAAGTTGTTCCTACAGAGCCTTCAAAACCACCAGGCAAAGTTCCAGGAGAAGTTGAGTGAGGCAGTGCCTTACAACTAAACTCAGAGCGGTGGGTGGGGGCCCGCGAGGGACCTAACCTCTCAGAGTTGAAATTTAACGTTCACTTGCCCAAAACCGATCTGAGAGTTCCCTGATGACTGCAGACTCTAGAACCATCCACACCTGTCCCAAACACAGCCTTCAAGAACCAAGATTATTTGGCTACTCTGGGCCCCACGAGGCTCTGCACAGCTGGAATTCTGGTGAGAGTTGCGCAGATCCGTGAGCAGCTGGGCTGCACTACTGACGCCTTCTCAGACGTCCTTGATTGCTGTTGTTTAATGTTTGCATTGTTCAATGGTTTCGAAATACACTTTACACTTCTTTTGTTAACTTTATCCCTTGATATTTTATGAATTTTTGAAGCTATTATAAGCAGGCTTTTTCTCAACTTTTGTGGGCTGTCTGTTGCCAGGGTACTCACGCGCTGGCTCTTGACTATGGCTCTGGTGTCCCGCAAGCTTGCAGACCTCATTAGTTCTGGCTGCTTTCTGGTGGACTCCTTGAGACTTTTTATAATTCAAGGCCCAGAATCTACAAACAGAGATGGTTTCACTTCTTGCTTCCCAATGTGGGTGTCTTTTGTGTCTTTTTCTTGCCTAATTGGCCTGGCTGCTCTTCCAGGACTGTGGTGAATGGTGAATAGGAGGGGTGAGAGCAGACAACCCTGCCTTGTTCCTGACCTCAGAGGGAGTGTCCAGCCTTAGCTGGGCTAGCTCTCCATTTTCCATAAATGTCATTTAATAAGTTGATGAAATTCTTTCCGGGGGGCGGGGGGTATGGATTTTGCCAAATGCATTTTCTGGATCTGTTGAGAATTCCATGAGATATTGTCACTCTATCGATATAATGCAATTGTATAATTTCAAGATGTTAAGACAACCTTGCTTTGCTGGGGTAAATCCCACTTGGTCATGGGTGTATAATCTTTCTGATGTGTTGCTAGATTTGGTTTGCTATTTTTTTTAAGCGAGGGTTTCTCTTTGCAGTCTTGACTGACCTGAAGTTTGCTCTGTAGGGCAAGCAGGCTGCCTTGAAACTCAGAGACTTACCTGCCTCTGCCTCCCAAATGATAAAACTAAAGGTGTGCACCATCCATCCATGTCTAGCCTGATTTGCTATCGTTTTGTTAAATTTTTCTGTCTCCATGTTCATGTTTGTATGTTTGTGACTGTAGTTTGTCCTTCCTTCCTTTCTTCCTTCCTTCCTTCTTTCCTTGTTCCCTTTTTCTCTCCCTCCCTTTCTCCCTCTCTCTCTCTTTTCAATGTCTTTGCCTAACTTTGCTACCAGGAATAATCTTGTCTTATCTCAAAAATGAGTCGGGGGTGGACAGCTGGGGCTACATGGTGAAGCCCTGTCTCTGGGAATGTGGTGAGGTGGGGAGGTCCCTATGCTTATGTCTTTTGAGAGTTCGTGAAGAGCTGATAGGTGGCTGGTTTTTCTTGACAGACCGTTTTCGTGTTATTAAGTCTCCCTGCCTGCTTTTGGTTTCTTGTCTCACTTCCTTTTCCTGTTGCTGGGATTAAAGACCCTGACAAGAGTAACTTCAGGGAGGAGAGACTGACTTTAGGTCACAGCTCTCGGATCCAGCACAGCGGAAAGCTAAGGCACCATGGAGGAGTCAGAAGCAACTAGATACAGTATATTCAAGTCAGAAGCGCACATGCTTGCCAACGTTCAGCTCACCCTCTCTGCGATAGAGATACAGTCCAGGATCCCCTGCCCAGAGAACGGTCCCAGCCCAAGATGGGTCTTTCCCTATTAATTAATGTAGTCAAGGCAATCCCTGACAGGTACGCCCAGAGACATGTCTCCTAGGTGATTCTAGATTCTGTCCAGTTGACAGTTAACACTCACATATGTCAATCAAGTGTCCATTTCTTGCTGACTCAGCTTAACAAATTAGTATCGTTTTAGGAACATATTCATTTCACTGATCCGTAAGTTGACTTCATCTGTTTGCAGCCCTGTGTTAGAGCAAAGCTGGGGGACCGAGATGTCTGAGTTTCCACACTTAACTGCAAAGGCACCATAGAGCTGGACAAGGGGAGGTGTACAGATCAGAGCAGCGGAACCGAGAGAAACAAACCCTCTCATCTACGGTTTGCTGCCTCTTGACGTGAGCACCAAGACTGGTCAGTGGGGAAGGAGTCACCTTGAACAGATAGTACAGTAAGGTAGACAGGTGTTAGGGACGATGCCAACCCCAGCCTCACATCATTTACCAAAGAAGACTCAAAGGTCTAAACACACAAAACTCTTGGAAGAGGAGATGGGAGTAAACCTTTGTGGCCTTGGATGTGGCAAATTCCTAGACAATGACCACAGACAGCTTGAGCAACAAGGAAAGAAAGGCAAACGTGCCTCAGGACCGTGAAATGGCATCAAGAATGGAAGAAAGCCTTGCATTTGTGTACTTGATAAGGATTTGTAGCTGGGATATACAAAGAACTCACAATACAAGAGCAGTACGCAATTCTATTACCATTGATCAAGGAATCCAAATAAACACCATTTTCAACGGAGATAAACTACCAGTACAGCCAAAGACGCTAAACCCTCAGCCACTGAAAATGCAAGTTTTCACCCACTGAGGCTGCCGGTCAAAAGGCGGAAAGATAGCAGATCTGGGAAGATGGCCCAGTGCAAACAGCAAACCACTCATCCACTACCAACCGGCGTGGATGTGGTCCGAACAATGGAATATTATCCAGCCACATAAAGGAACGAAGCCCTGGCATGTGCTATGCTATGGATGAAAGATGATTTAGACTCCCCCAGAGACACCTTGCTGAGTGAAAGGAGCCAGACGCCGTGAGTCATTCACACAGAATACCCAGGATTGGCAATACTCCGGCAGAAAGCCAAAAACTGACAGAGGGAAGGGGAGGGGCTGGGGAAGGGGCTAAAAGCCGAACGGTTTAAGGAAATGTTCTAAAGTTGATAGTATTACCTCGGAATGCACCAGAAACAATGAATTATATCTCTAAATGAGTGGGTGGCAGGCTTGTGAATGATGTCAACAGAGCTGGAAAAAGCAAGAGAACTCCCACATTTCCAAACCCCAAGATCCTTAATCTGCATGTATTTGATCTTTAATGAGGCCGGTGTTTCTTGAGGGTTTTACAAAATATTTCTTTCACATCTCTTCGGTCTCGTTTTCTAAGGAAGTTATTCATAATGTCCTTAATTACAAGTTCCCTTAGTGATACAGTTAACAGGCTTTCCCAACGCAACAGCAGCCTTTTCAGGAACCAGACTGCTGCTAAGGGCCTCTGCGGCCCCCACCGCGCCTCATCCGAAGCAGCAACCTGGGCTCCCAGCGCTTGAGGCTTGCTTTAGACATAGCTGCCAGGCTCAGACCCTCCCACCCACCATCACGTAGACCCCCTACCATGACAAGAGAGGACAGTAGCACTCTGTGCCCTTCTGCTCCTCCTGTCACGTGGACACATTTTCCTTTAGCCTTCAGCAACTACACCCTGGCTGCTCTGGGTTTTTGGATGTACCACACAATGGAGGGTCTCAGTATCATGGCCTTGGAGTGCCAGTTACGGAGAGGCCCACTGCCAAGTGCAGAAAGGTGGCTGTGGGTGACATCAGGACGGGAGCACAACAGCCTAGGCAGGGATGACATTTCCTTCCTAGGAGCCTTGGGGCTAAGTGACGCCAGGGTCTCTGCGAGATGCACCCTGGGTTAGGCACATACCAAGGGCACTGCCCCCGCTGCCTGGAATCAACTGTCCCTCTCTGTGACTGCACACAGAAAGCCTGGGCTTTCCCCTAAGCCAAGACTCTTGACCCAGCAAATTAATATTTGACTAGACACAATCACCTCATCCTTCACATGGGAGGGCAACGGCTCTCGTGGGGCATGACTCACACGCACCAAGAATAGGCACAGCACCATCCTCACTTCCCAGACCTGAGTACCTAGGAGAACACACGGACTAGAGCAGAGGCCAGAGCCTGAGGCCGCCTGCCCAGGATGGGGGTCCTCGGTAGTTGTGGGCTGCAGGTGGTAAATAGCACAGAGGCCTCCTGGATGCCCTGGCTAGACAGCCTTGGTGAATGTCCCATTTGGCTTTTAAGGCTTTAACAGTTGTTTATTAACTGGATCCCTTCACGGAAGAATGGAGCGCATGTTCACGCTACTAGATTCCCAAGGGTGGGGAGATGAGGGCTTGCCATAACTGGGTTAGTGGGGCCTCAGTAAGGCCATGAGGTCAGGCACACCCTGGAGCCAGGACCCACACTGCATGACCCACATTCTCTTACAAATCTACTACCTTTGTGACCCCATAGCCATGGCCTGGGCCTGCTCGGGCCACTCAGCTGTCCAGAAGGTTGGCAGGCTCTTGAGTGAGACTATCAGTTTCTGGGGCCTGGGAACCTCAAGATTATGCTAAGCATATACACTATTGCTTCCGAAGAAACTGGATCTGGCTTGGAGTTATAGCTATCACTTGACACAAGACAAGTGTCTTCTTTCTGTGTACACATACAATGGCAGTAGGGACCCAGAGTCTGGCTGCCTGTCAAGGTCATTGTCAGCAAGGCTACCCAGACAACTGACCTGCAGCTGGCCAGGGCAGAATGAAGCCCCTGTGAATCAGGACAGTGGTAACAGGGAGGGTGCAGCAACAGGAGCTGATGTGGGAAACCCCTCTGTATGACTGGCTAGTAAAGAAGCTGCTGTGGCCTACGGCAGGGTAGAATAGAGCTAGGAGGGAAACTTAACTCAACGCAGGGAGAAAGAAGGCAGAGTCAGGCAGACACCATGGAGCTGTCAAAGGAGAAAGCTGCAAGTCAGCCTCCAAGGAAACAAGACATGCAGAAAAATGAGATAATGCCAGAGCCTCGTGACAAAACAGAGACTAATAGAAATGGGTTAACTTAAGATGTAAGAGCTAGTTATAAATATGCCTGAGTCATTAACCAAACAGCGTCGTAATTAATATAATTTCTATTTGATTATTAAGGTCTGGGGGGCTAGAAAACTAAAGTGCAGTCTCTGTTTACAAGAAACCACAATTCCTCATATATCCACGCCCATTTAACCCTCTTTCTATTCCAAAACTACCCCAGTGCCTGGGATATATCCAAGTCTATCTATTGGGGGAACACACAGCACAGTGTGGAAACCCTATCACCATGGAGGAACTGGCTGAAATTGAGCTAATTGCTCAAGTGAGGATGGACTGGAGGCCAGAGGGGCCATGGCAATGCAGATGGTGCAGTCAGGAACTACACAGCCTCTTGGCTTCTTTACAATCACGAGTTCAAAGCCCACAAGCAGATTTTAGATTCAGGGAGAAAAGTCAGGCACGGGAGGAGACTCTGGTTTTATTCACATCCATCGCATGCAGTGACCAGGGGTGCAGTGGCCATCATGCACAGCAGTATCCAGGTACAGGCTGCCCTTCCAGATAGCCAGAAACAAAGCTCGTCCACACAAAGTCGCACTGGTTGGGCAGCTGGTCACAGCCCTCTGGGGACGATGCTAGGCGTTCCTGGGGATAGCTTTGGGGAGCACCCTACAAGGCCTGGCCTCTCCTCTGGATGGACCCTGCCCCAGCCCTGTCTCACCTGTCCCTCTGCATCCACATCACTCTCCCCTGCATTCTGTAGGGGATCCAAAGTGGGTAAGGAGTATGGAGACCAGCCAGATGCCGCAAGGGAGCCGCTAATGCATGGGATGCTTCCAGCTCCTCTCTATCCCATCTATTCCCTCTGGAGGGCCACATGGGGGCTCTTCCTTCACTGTATCTGTGGCAGAATCCTCCTATGCTCACCAAAACCTCCCCTTGGAGACTCCCACACTGGGTGACTCCAGGTCCATGGTAAGTAGATAAATGTTGGACCTTGGGTTCATTGACTTTAATAGCAGGTATGGAAGGACAAACTTGGGGCTGGAGCTGATCATTCTTCAGCGTTCCAGGGCTAATGGAAACTAGGAAAGCGTCCGGGACACTGTGGAGGCCGAGCATCCTTGTCTCACCCAGGACCTGTGGACAGCCATGCAAGGACAAGGAACATTGCAAATGTAATCACTCAATGATCCCAAGACGAGACCCTCTGGACTACCAGGTTGGGCC